TATATATATATATATATATATATATATATATATATATGTGTGTATGTATACATGTATATATATATGTATATATATGTATATGTATATATACACATGTACATATATACATATATATATGTACATATACATACACATATGTGTATACATGTATACATGTATATGCATATATATATGTGTACATATTTATGTGTATATATATATATACATACATATGTATATGTAACATATAGATGTATATTATAAATGGTTGTCATAACACTAGATTGTCATGATTGTGTACAACTCATAAAAAAATGCACAAAAACATACGACATTTCTGTCTTCCAGCTGGGCAACATAAAGATTTCAAATGAAGGCGATTTATGTGCAAGCATTTTTGTCAGACTGAATGTGGTTTCGGCCGTTTTGAGAGAATTTCGCTTCTGCTCAAGTACCGTTTTATTCTGAACGGCGGAGGACGATTTGATAATGTCTTGTAAATCAGCACTGGTCTTTACAATGTAACGCTGCAGAAGGCGTGCCAGGTAAATAATCCTGAAAATCAAACAATGAGACGAAGTGCTGGGACTCCAGCAACGAAAAAGTGCCAGCGCTGCAGCTGAGTTGAACAAATTCTGCTTCGCAGCACGAGATAAACGGAGAAATTTTGCTCTGAAAGCAAAAATTCATTAAGCGAAGTACCGAACCTTGCCTGCCAATTATTGTTGTGATGTTCCATCAGATATTCAAATGCTGTCCTGTCGGACTTACAAAACGATACAAAAGCGAAAGTAGTTGATTCAAGCTCGTCGAGGTGTAATTCTTGCTCCAAAACCGCGCTCATATCGTCGCTGGTGGAACTGCCTCGCTCAGATGGCAATGGCGGTATAAGTTCCTGTAAATTAAAACATTATGGTTTTCTGAATTCCACAGCTGGACAGGAATACCCGCGCACGAGCCCGCCAAAATCTTTTTCGAATAAGTTGATAACTCGAGAAACAGAAAAGCTAGAAGGCTGAAATTTTAAGGGAATGTTCCCCATCCAAGTAGGTATTAATGATCTGAAATCCAACCCGCGGGTAAGTGTGGTATCCGTGTACGGGCCCGCCAAAATTTTCCAGGGTAAGTTCATAACTCGGGGATCTGAGAAGCTAGAAAGCTGAAATCTTAGGGTGGTGTTCCCCTCCAAGCGGGTATTAGTGAGCTCAAGCCCAACCCCCGAATAAGAGTGGTACCCGCATACGGAACCGCCAAAATTTTTTCGGGTAAGTTGATAACTCGGGTACCTGAGAAGCTGAAGGATTGTAATTTTAAGAGGATATATCCCGTCCACCTAAGTTTCATTCAGCTCAAATCCAACTCTCCGGTATGCGTGGCAAACACGCACGGGCCCATAAAAACTTTTTTCCAGTAATTTGCTAACTCAGGAGCCAGAAGCTAGAAAGCTGAAATTTTAAGGGGGTGTTTTCTGACAGTTCTGGCGGATAGTCTTAATTTGTTTAGCTAGAAGCATTTGCCAAAAAAGCCGGTGCCGGTAGCAACAAAAACTGCGGGGAACTATGCACAAAACGCATGCGTTGGCCAATTATTTCCTCCCACGACATAAATGGCTGTGTCATTCCTCACAGGCAGTAATTCAGTAAGCGTCACGAAAAAAAGACAATTTACATCACTGATAACACCAACCATGAGATATTCAAAGAGAATCGTTATAGTTTTGCGCTCCAGCGTTTTTGTGAAAGGCGCAAGACTGACGAGAGCACGCAAAAATCGCACTCGTAGTGCTGGATTCACTTTTTCGATAACAGGAATGCCTTTGGAAATCATAAATTCCACGAGTACAGTGCTTCGACAGTTTACCTACAAAGAAAATGAATAAAGTGCAAACGAAGAATATCTCCAACATGACTGCGCCCCTCCCCAAACTTATCCGTTTGTTTGAAGTGAAAGCGCATATACGACAGCAAGTGGTTCAAGAGAGGGAATATTTCACAGGACGATAAGCAGCGCACACATTCAGTGAAATAAAAACTGTTATTAAGCATTTTTAACGCATAACAGAGAAGTAGTAAGCTTCCAGTTTCAAAAAATGTGAAACACTTACGGACATCAAAGACCGTGTCCGTTCCACAAGATATAATATTTGATCAAGACGCTGAGGATCGTTAGCCTAAAAACAGTAATTGTTGGCCAAAAATCAAACACACGTTATAAGCTGATGCTTCGTATGAGCAGCATCTACGTATCTCGCAAAGAAATCGATCCAGAAAGAATTTTGAATCTGAAGGAGTCTGACTTTTTTGTCCCGACCCACATTAGTTTTCGATAATTGGCCAACGCACGACGACGAGAATATTTTGAACACTCAGTGGCTTACTAATTAAAAAAATTGGCCAACGCACGGGCTGCCAGTGCGGAGATGCGTTTTTGCATGGTTCCCCGTAGTTTTTGTTGCTACCGGCACCGGTTTTTTCGGCAAATGCTTTTACTAAACAAATTAAGACTGGCCACCAGAACTGTCAGAAAACATCACCTTAAAATTTCAACTTTCTAGCTCCCGTGGCACCCCAAGATTTCAGCCTTCTAGCTTCTCAGCTCCTCGAGTTATGAAATTACCCGAAAAAAAATTTTGGCGGGCTCGTACGCGGGCACCACGCTTACCCGGGGGCTGGGTTTGAACCCACTAATACCAGGGTTGGGCGGAGAACACTACCCCAAGATTTCAGCCTTCTAGCTTCTCAGATTCTCGAGTTAAGAACTGACCCCAAAAAAACTTTGGGGGGCCCGCACGCGGGTACCACGCAGGTTTTTGCGCCCATTTTAGGGATTGGGGGTGGTATGTGCATGTAGATTAAGTTCCTGAAATTTCAGCCCCACAGCTTTTATAGGTCCTGAGATGAAAGTGCGTGACAGACGCTTTATAGGTCCTGAGATGAAAGTGCGTGACAGACGCACACACAGACACACAGACGCACAGGCACACAGACACACAGACCACGGACACACAGACAACCTCTCGTCAATATGCGTTTTTCGCATTGCATTGCTGCAAAAAACGCATAAAAATGGACTAATCCAATAAGGACCAAGCAAAATAACAGAGCAACAGCCCAATCGGACTTCAATCTTCGTTCATCGTACTATTTGATCAAAATTTGATTGAAATCCTTGCCAGTTAGTACTTTTGAAAATGATGATTAAGAAGGTCACTGACACATTCCTTTGCTCTTCCCGGTAAGTGATTTCAATTAAAACTTACTGGAAATGGCTCATCAATACGTAGCTGGTCGACAATAATCTGGTACAGCATCACTCGCCCATTCAAGGTTTGGAAATATGAAAGAGAAAACATGAGATCAAACAACAAATCAAACTCTGTAGCCGTAACATCCCTCATAACCTGCAATACCTCCACATTCACAACAAAGTAAGCAAAACTTTCTGAAAATATGCATATTTTTCTACAGAAAAACAAGAAAAATAAATAGCGGCGCGCACCAGAGGTAGTTGGCAATCATGCGTTTCGCGCAATTCCATCCAGTGGACGTTTGCCTGCTAAGAATTTTCACAGTTCTGCAATTTGTTCTGTGCAAAAATAGCTATATGTTCCTAAGCTGCAAAATTTGCCACTGGAAATTTCACGCAGCGGCAAGTGAAACGTACGTGAAATATGAATTTGAAAGCATGGACGGTGTACACCCACAATCCTAATTTTTCACATTTCGGATGACTTTCGCGTCAAAACTTTCAAAAGGCCGTAAGTGAGACCTGAGCATACTTGCGAGCTATATCTGAGTTTGCGAGACTCCTACACGGGCGAAAGAAATACTCCTGAAATTTTGCTGGCTCCAGAAATAGTAGTTTCTCTTTGAAAACTTTCACGGAGTAGTACGCAGTATCCTCAATTTAAATTTGCTGCTTCGTACGTAGGCAGGGAACACTCCCCTGGCTTCAGCTCCCTAGCTTTCATGGCTCCGGAGATAATTTTCCGCGTCAACGGTTTCACGGGGTCGTACATGGCACCCAGACATAAGGGGCAGCTGAAATTAAGTCCGTGGGACACACGCGGGCGGGGAACGTTCTCCTAAAATTTTAGCTTCCCAGCTTTTGTGGTTTCCAAAGTGAAAGTTGCGGACAAAATGCACTTGGACAAACACACGCATACAAACACATACACACAAACAAAAAAACAGACAGGTCGTTTTGTGCTGCTGTTGTACAGAACAAAACGCATAAGAAACTAAGCATGAACCTCTCGAACATGGTGCTCTACAGACTGCATGAGCTCTTCGGTGAGCAGTGAAACTGGAATATGCTGCATTTGTTCTTTTATAAATTTCAATAAGCGCAGACGCACAGCTTCCTCATCCGATTTTATTATATTCAGGAATACCGCCGAAAGCACGTCTGAAAAGATGGATTTGCGTCGAAGCAGCTAAATTTGTATTTCTGTTAAAGAGCAACCATGAATTTTTCAGTCGCATCGATATACGTGCAGCTAAAACACACAACTAGCAAATTTCGGGTTACCACCAGCTGCAGAAGATTACCAAAAGTGCTCGAACAATCCCTGTGAAGAACTGATGCTACTAAATACTTCCACACACACACACACACACACACACACACACACACACAAACACACACGGAAGTAACCGTGCCAGGATTTTCCACTTTGCACCGCAAAAATCCAGTCGGTTGCCATGGTGTGAAGGACGAATGTGTGACACTTCTCTGGAGGCCATCTGAGCGGTCTCGTGGGTATCACTCTGTAATGCACGACGCACAAAAACTGCCGTCTGTCCAATCTGATTTTACTTTGTCGCTCGCTCGCAATGATATCCAGTGAACCCTATGTCTAAGGAGACCGCGGCCAAAATCCGAAAACACATATAGACAGACTCTCGAAAATGTGCCTTTTTCACTGTTGCTGTAGCGCAAAACGCATAAAAAAATGTGGTAATCCACAATCCTTAGAGTGTTATAAAAATGCGACATTTAAGGTACGCTTACCTTTTGGATGTGTTTTCAAGAACTGAATGAGCACAGATGTGAGCATGACGATTTCCTTTGGCTCATCCGTTTGCTGTAACATCTGCGACAGAACGTCCGCAATCTTATCAACAAGTTCATCGGACTTAACCAAATTCGGCACTTCGCGTATCACCACCTTTCGAATCTGCAATTCCGACCAGATACGACGCGAACTGGAATACTGGACTTACATCGAATTTATAATTTCATGACGAACTGTACCAGCTGGAAGGGCCTTCGGCGGGATGGAGAAGGAAGGCAAGGAAAAGGAGGTCAGGTTGATCAGCAAGCTGAGATCATGTGGATTCGGTCGTAACATCAGTGTTAGATGTATCGGTGGTGTGAATGGACACTACTGAGATATAACCGCTGGTAAGTGATTAGCACAGAATGTAACGACGAACACTGGAATCAATGGGGAGAAAACGTTCACAGATTTTAAATGCAAGAGAAATGATGAAGCTGGATTTGCAGTGGAACCAGAAAATGCTCCACACGAGCTCTTGGTTATAAACCACCGAAACAAACCAACAACTCATACGGGAGCTTCTTCAGCGCCTGCTAAATTCACGAGCCCTTTTCATCGCAGCACATTATGAATCAGCCTTACCCACCGCTTCTACCTCAAGCACCGTATACTCGAAATGACAGCTCGCCAACTCTTCGTCATATCTGCCTTTTGCTCTTTCTTTTCTCAGCACCG